TCTTGTGCTTTGCAGAAGTGGTAAATATGGAGTTTTCACCATTATGCCCTTGGTCCGTTGAAGATTTGACTACCTAACCTGCTACACTTGTTACCTGTCAAATTGATGTTCTCTATTTGGCACTTTAATGTTTCTCTATATTTTGATATTTTGAGTAATTGATATGCTATCCTTTAATCTTGAACTCGTTGTATCTTTGTCAAGCTTGCTGCTGGCTTTTTTTCTATATATTTGTTTTCCAATAAAAAACTATTCCAATGATCATAATCAAATCATCTACTGGAAATCATATCAATGTTTTTATTTACATGAACAAAGCTTTAAACTTCGAGACTATATTTGCATCCAAATGGAAATGAGGTTTTTACAAACTAATATTACTTCTACTGTAAAAGAGAATATTTTAATTTATGTTCAAAGTTGGAAAAGTCAAGTGGGATACTAATTTGTACTTGTTTACCCATTATATTTGTTTCTCTGTCAATATCAACGTTTCCTAATGGTTGGAACCAAAGTGGGTATGCCTATAACACTATATAGATAAAAGCGAAATATTACATATTCTAAATAACATATTTAATTGCTAATTATTTGCTAGCTTTTTTGTTCTTTAGTTGTTATATTTCATTTATGTAGCTCATAACTATTTTTTATATATCTTAAAATATAGGGGCATGATTTAATTATCTTGCCCTGGGCATTGAAAACCAACAGACCGGCCCTCCTTAGAAATGTCCCAAAAATGGCAAGATCCATGTCTTAAAGAAGATCTATCAAATGATAAGTCAAGGTTCAAGCTTTTTACCTTGAATAAACCGGAAATGGAGCAAAATCTCTGGATCCACTTGCTTCTTCAAGAACCCCCAAGCTTCCACTTCTTCCTTCAAGCTTCAAACAACTCTAAATACTCAAAAATGTCTCTGGAACACTCAACAAGATCTAGGGTTTCAAGATAAGGCTTTCTGGAAGTGAGAGGGACGATGGAGGCTGGGTTGAGGCAAGATAATTTGTTTATATAGGGTGATAACCCTAAATATTAGGGTTTCCTCCAGACAGTCCTACTCGCCGAGTCGGGCTCCCGACTCGTCGAGTAGGTTACTTAAAATCCGCGTCCAAAGTCTTGTCTACTCGACGAGTTGGGCCTCGAACTCGCCGAGTCCCAGTATAAAAACATAAAATCTTTAAATTTAAAATATGTACCAAGAACTGGGCGTTACATAATAACTGATAAACTTACCTTATACATCAATTGAAGCTTTAAGCTTTTGGGAATTGGATGTTGATGAATGATATTCTTCGTCATATGTTATTAGGGGCAGTAAAATGTTGCTAGACGATCACTACTGTCTATATCAATCTATGACGAGTCTTGTGCAAGTGAGAGATTGAAAGATCTTATATGTTCAAGAGTCATTATAGAATGATACTGCTAATAACATATAATTTTATAGGGTCACACCTTATACAAAGTTAACATTAATTGATTATTTATTAGAGTAATTTTTGAATATTAATAAATATATCAACACTTGTATTTTATTGGAAAAACATTTATTTATGAAAAATAATATTTACCAATATACTGGAAATTATTATTTCTATGAAATAGTAATAAAGAGAACAAAAACTCGAAATAATTCATATGGTATGATTTTATAAGTTATGTACAAATATTTGGTCACTTAGAGTAACCAAATAGTTACACTCTAAATAACTAGTTATTAAATAAAATAAAGAGCATTTGGTTTTGGTCTCTTTTGACCTCATCAAGAGACATGGTCTAGGTTTGTTTTTTCATTATTTATTCAACACTCCATACTTGTAAGGAGCATGCTTTCAATTTTTCTTTATGCTTTATGGTCTTGTGTTTTTATACATAAGATAACATAAAAAGAAGACCAAGAGCAAGTGTATGGGCTAGTTTTTCCTTTCAAAAAGTTCTCTTCCTTTCTCTTTAAAAATTGGCCAAATTTTTGGGGCTTCTCCCTCTCTTTTTTCTCTTGCAATTTGGTTCTAGAATTGAAGTCCATAAAGTTTCTTATCTTTAAGAACTTATTTGGTTTAAGTCTTATAACTTAAGAACAACTTTATTATAAGTGTTTACTAGCATATTTTGGTGGTGCAAAACTTTCTTGGTAGATACATTATAGAGAGCTTAATTTAGAGCTTAAATCCACCTTCATCAACTTCCTAAATGCAAAAAGGAACCCAAAGTCTTCAAAGGTTGTATCACTTTCTTCTTATTTAGTTTTATTTAATATTTCTAAGTTATTGCAAAATGATCATTGGTGGGTATAGAACTAGTTTTATCTTGTTCAAAAAATCAAAGTCTTTCGTTGTCATCTTTATGTTTTTGAAACTATTTTTGAATAAAAATCCAGCATATCTATTATAGGGTGTTGCATGATAGAGATGTTCTACTTTGGAAATTTATCTTCTTGTCAAAATCTACTTAAGGGAATTTATTGAACCTTCTTGTAGATTAATTTAGTTACATTTATGAATACTGATACTTTGGCTAGATAATGATGCTTAGTAATTGTTGGTACATATACATTTGAGAAAATGTCACCACCATAGCCTATGTGGTAGGCTGACATGTCAAAAAACTCCACTAAATCCTTTCCACCCTATCATCCCCGCCGACAATCACCACCATAGTGTTCACTTCGGCAGCTGCCCACCATACACGCCCACCATACATGTGAGTAGCCACCTTGTTATTGTCTCATTGTTAGGGTTCTTCGATACTGGTAAGGAGAGGCAACGGGTAATCATTGTTCGTGTATGGAGAACGTTAGTTCGGCAATCATTGACTCATGGTATAAGGGTTGTCATTGGCAATGAATATCTAGATGAAACTAAAAGAACAAGCCAAATGGCCGGTGGAATTTAGATATAGAAGAAGACGGATGAGATGAGTTTCTTTTTTACATATTTTCTTTTCAAATTTAAATATAAACAAATGTTAAATTAATTTAAAAATACTATTTTTAATAAATATATATTAACTACAATATTTTGGTAAAGCTCTTGTGGTACATTGTGTTTTGAATAAAATACAATGTATGAAATGTAGGAAAAATAAATCTGGAAATTAAAAGATTCCTTACAGCTAAACTTTGGCTGGTCTTAGGGTACGGCGTGTGAGAAACACAATAATGGTGAAGCTTATGCTACTTGTACTTTATGCATCATCAAAAATACCTCTTGTATGGCTAATTACGGATCAATGCATGTAGGAAGCATCGTGAGAAGCACCTGGTGCAATTTATACTTTGATGAAAAGGATGGCGTGTATGAACTACTTGTACAAGATGTAGTGAGGATTGTACAATTTTGATTTCAATGGAGAGAAACTTCATCAAAGATGTATCGATTGGGTTCTCGAGTTTAATCGAAGAGGATACCGATGAACTACTTTTATCGAACATGCCAAAGACCAGTGCATGTGGAAATAAAGTATGATTACTATCAACGTCGCACCTATGACGGACAAACACATCCGAGGTTTTGTCCCAACATAACAATTGTTCCAACAAACCGGAGAAAAGTCAACAAGAGCTACACATGCTGTCGAAACAAGCGGGAAGAAGGAGGTGAAGAAGTTTTACCGGAGAAACCATAGTATGCATTGTAGGTGATCGTCACTATGGAACAGAGGTGATCGTTAACTATGGGTTTTCTATGGTTTGGGGGAAACTTATGAAAGTGATCGGAGGTGAAGAAGTTTTCAGAGTGGCTGAGGGTAGGGTTGATGATGAGAGAGAAAGAGAGGGAAGAATAAGAAAGATAAGACGAAGAAGTGGCTATAATTGGCTCTTAAGATCTCTTTGGCTCGGAGAGGACACCGCCTAGATCCAAGGTATGCACATGGTTTCCTTAGACATCATCCTGCCATGTAGGCTAATTAATGGGAGAATTGTTAAAAACTAACGATAATGGCTTTTTTGACTGGAAAAATGTATGACTAATTGCGCAAAAAAACAATTCAGTGATCTGTTTGAGTCAAAGACATAACATTATTGTGTTACAGTGACATTTTCCCTATACTTTTTGTTTATATATCATAATTCGTCGGGAGTTTGGATGCCTACTTTATAAGGTTGGAAAGTTGTCAATAGGCTCGCTCTAGACAACAACTGAGTTGAAAGTTGTATACCCCTGGGTTGATATTAAAATTCAATTTTTAGGTTTCCAAATTTCATATTCTCAGTTTTCTCTCATTCTCGATTTACACTTTTTAGTAATGATTGTTTCACTGGGACAATTTGGATTAAAATAAATTATTCGAATTGGTTTTTCTACCAAATTATTATTTTGGATTTCAGATTGGTTTTGGTTACTAAAGTTAGAACCGAATAGTCTAAGAAAACCGAATAACAATTTTTTTTTATCTATTTATCTATATTTTACAAATTTATTTGAAGGTATCGCCAAAATAAAGAATTTTTTTAAAAAAAAACTTTAATACATTAGAAATTTGTTTCTAATTAGAAAAACTTAATTGACAAATAAATGGTTTTTCAAAAATTTAATTGACAAATAAATCATTTGATTTTCTTATTTTATTTTCAAACAAACTCTTGAAAACTGAATTGCAAAAACTAAGCCAAATTGAATTATAATTCAGATGTTTCAGATCCGATTTTAATTTAGTTTGAGCTATTTGAAAGAAAATTGAATGGAAAATTGAATGGAAAAAAATGCCTATATTTGAATGGAAAAAAATGCCTATATTTGAATGGAAAAATATACTTCAGATCCGATATCTACTTTAAAAGAAAATTGAATGGAAAAAAATGCCTATATTTGAAAAATAATATACACCTCTAATAGAATCATTTTGATTATCATAATGAAAGTTTGAAACAATGTTTATGAAAAATTTTAATAAAATACACCTACATTTTTACTCGTATACAAATTTTATCTATTTGTTTTAGTGTTATCAAGACAATTTCGGAGAATTTGGTTGCAAATGTGCACAAAACTAAATTCCGTTTTGGTGACGTCAATTTCTGGTAATATGAATTACATTCTACAAACCATACGCAATGCAAATAATTGCAACATGATTGAGTTAGATGTGGTAATACAATATTACCACCATCCATTATTTTGCTAGCTTATCAAACACCTAACATATTTCCCTATCCTCTCAACAAGTCAAGTCAAGTGAAAGTCAATCAAACAACCCTTTCGCTGTTCTACCAAACATGTTCCCAACCTGCACAAAATGTACAAACAGAATTTACATTTTGAATCATATCATACATAAAAGGGAGAAAAACTTATAGCCATGGGGTTACCTGCTTTGATGAAATTCCAATTTTCTCCAAATCATTGAGCTGCATGCAAAATGTAATGAATTGATGCAAAGGTTAAATGCAAGAAATAGCAACATAGGTTTGTTGATTTTTCAAAGTATAAGAAATAAAATGAAACCAAGTTATGGCATGACTTACGGATTTAAGCGGGCTAATATCTCTAAGCTCAAGTATGTATTCAGCCATCTTTTCTCCAATTCCCTGAAAAAATAAATTCACAGCTCAAGTATGTAACAACTTTAACTTACTATAAAAAAGATGTGAAAATTACCTTCAACTGTAGAAGCTCCCCCCTTTGGAATCCAAAAAAAATATACTTGAGAGTTTAGCATTTAATTTAAATTCGCATAAATTAAAACAAACAAGAAATTGACTTTAACTTACTTGTCCGCTGTGTTTAGGAAATTAACGTATTCTTGGGCGAGAGTAGTCTGTGATTGAAATTTCAAAACATTAATCACAAAACAAAGTCAGAAAAAATAATGATAAATGTTTAATCGTTTGTACCTTCAAATTACAACTCATTGCTTTGAATTTATTAAGTGGAGTGTCTGTTTCATCCGCAACTGACTCATGTTTAGGAGTGATTGGATCAATAACGTTGGAGCTGATCGGAAATAGCACTTTCCTTGTTGGTGTCATTTTCAACCCATTTTCAACTTGTTCCTCTGATACAAACAAACTTGTAAGTTCGCATGCGTAACAAAAAAAAAAAAAAAAAGTACCTAATGTGGCAATTGGCTTTGGTTTTCCAGAGCTCAGGAATGTAATGTGCTTCTTCGTAGAGGTTATAGAACGTGGAGTTGTAGCGAATGAAAAATCAATTTTTGTCTTCCCTTTGGATTCAAGCCATGCCCTAAGCTTTTCCTCCATGTCAACTTCAGTCCTTCGGGTATTATTATTGTCATTATTATTATTATTATGCTTCTGAGCAGAGTGTAGAAAGTTAGAGACACGTCGGGACCTTGCTGCCAAACTAACTGTATGGACAGATTGTTCGTATTCCCCTGGATTCTGGTAACATAATAACCAACAATTAGTAATTGCAGTAAATAAAACAAAGAGTAAATTACACGAATGGTCCCTGTGGTTTAGAATAATTTACGCGTTCGGTCTGTAACTTATTTTTTTACCCTATTGTTTGTTTTTGTTACGCGCTTTGTCCCTATCTTACCTAAAAGAATATTTTGCCCTTGATTTTTTAATTTATTTAAATAAACACACCCTAACCCCAACCTCAACCCCAACCCACCTCACCTTATCTAAAAACTATTTTAATTTATTTAAATAATAGTAAATTACATGAATGGTCACTGTGGTTTGGATAATTTACGCGTTTGTTGCCTAACTTATTTTTTTAATTCGGAAGGTCCCTACTATTTGTTTTTGTTACGCGTTTGGTTTCTACTTTTTGTTTGAGTGGTGGGGTTGGAAGTATGTTTATTTAAATAACTTAAAAAATCAAGAGCAAAATAGTCTTTTCAGGTAAGAGAGGGACCAAGTGCATAACAAAAACAAACAGTAGGGACCTTCTAAGTTAAAAAAATAGGTTAGGGATCAAACATACAAATTACCCTAAACTATTGGAATCATTCGTGTAATTTATTATTTAAATAAGGGCATAATAGTCGGACAAGGCGCCAAAACATCGTAACAAAAATAAACATTAAAGACTTTTCGAACTAAAGAAATAAGTTAGGGACCAAACTCATAAATTACCCTAAACTATAGGGACCATTCGTGTAATTTACTCTAAAACAAAATGGCTAAAAAAAGGTTAATGAGCTTACGAGGCAAGCGACCATTAAAGCATGATTTGTTCCCCCTAAGGAATCTTGCAAAATCCGTGTGAGTTTGGATTCTCTATACGGAATCCGAGTATTCTTGTTGTTGAGTGCATAAATGACATTTGATAATGCAAATAGAGACTGGTTGATTTTTTGACTCTCAATAAGTCGAACACCTTCATTGCCACTTCTTCTGTTATCTTCATTGCCTGATGAATGGAAAAGTAACTATATTATATTAACTATATCATTATCAACTAAAGAATACTTCTATATGGGTATGATTTTTAGAGAAGAAATTTAACCTGCTAAATCAATGAGATTTAGTTTCCCAATCAAAGGACCATTTTCACAAGATCTTGAAACAGAAATGACGAGTACCCCATGGCTTCTACTTGAGACATCATTAAGACCTGTGTGTGCAACTTTTCGCCTTTGTATTCCACGGAGGAAAATGTCATGAAAATCAGACATTGAATATATTGGGATTTTGGATAGATTTCTGAGATGAGGATTCCCTTGTTTATCATCTAAAATGGTAATTTCCTTTGGTTTTGGTGTATCTTCTAAAAGATCATAACATCGATCCATGTAGATCTCGTAGTATGAAACTTGTACAGTATTCCCAATCTTTTCACACATCGAGAGGATGCTTGATGTAGCCATTCGCATCAAACCTGGTAACTCATCACTTCCCTGCATCAACTCAAAACATTTGGGGTTTCAATTCAAAATCAATTGAAAATAAGTGAATGGAAAACGAATCAGGGGATCAAAATTAATCAAGAAGAGAAGAACACAAACCTGCATTGTAAAAGTTTTTCCACTACCAGTAGCTCCATAAGCAAAAACAGTGGCATTGGAGCCGTTTAGTACAGCAGGAATCAGAGGCATCACTTCTCTTTCAAATATCCGTATCAGATTGTTATCTTCTTGACCATAAAAGGAATCTAGCTTGTAATTTTCATTCCGACTGCAAAGAAATAACATCATTTCGTGTTTTACACTTTGCATCCTGCTAACCAAACTCGGAGAGAAAGAGAGGAGAAAATTAAAGAGAACGTATACATACCAAGAGTGTGGATCTTTGAGTCTCACAGTAACTTCTGAGGCAGATTGTAGTGGTGAATCAAGAACAGAGATACATGGTATTGATTTATCGATATCAGCATCACTTGACCTAGAAATCTCGTGAGGCAAGAATGGACGAACCCTAGCGATTACTCGCACCATTGAGGTCGAATCAAGTGGTAAATGCTTGTTTGGAGTGCGCTCTATATGCGATGTTGCGCTGGAAGAATTTGGTTGAGGAGTTGACATTTGAAAATTAACAAACACAGAGACGGAAAATGTTGAGATTTGGGGGAAAAATTGCAGGATTTGAACAATTGGGGAGAAATGGATCGATCGTTCGTTAAAGTTAGTGAAGCAAATGAAATTGGTGGTACTTTTGACCGTTGAGGAAAGGTTTGAAATTCGAATTGGGTGAACGTTGCAACTTGCAACTATACGTGTGGAGTATCGTTATTCTAAATTCCCTCTGAAAATGAACGGGGGAGTCGCGTGTGAGAATGAAATTATTTAATTTGTTAAAAATCTTTAGATAATTTTTTCATATATTATAAAAGCCCTTAAGTTTGCAAGTTTTTTCCGTTTTGTCCATAGTCTGTTTTTAAGTCCATTAATATCTTACATTTGCTCTAATTTTTTCATTTATAACATTTCATCGGTTTTTCTCACATTCGTCGATTACCAAGGCCAGGTGGATGCCACATAGCCTCATCAACACCGTCAAATAGAAAACCCCTTTCCGTTTTGTAGCTGTTATACCTAAAGCCTAACACCCCCCCCCCCCCCTCATCTCACATAACCTTTTGTATTGTCCACTTAAATTTTCGAGTAAACACACAATCACAGCATAAAAGAGGGTTTTTGAAGAAGATTAGGGTATGTTTTCTTCAAGTTTGGAGCCAAATCGAGATAGTCTTCTTCGCAAGGTAAGTTCTTACTGTGTTCTGATCATGTGTCTTCTTCAAGTTTGTAGTGTAAAATGTTTGTGTTTATGCAGGAGTGTGCAGTGGCTTCATCATACGAAGGGTACGCCGACCCTTTTGCTGGCATACATGAGCATTTTTTGGGTTGAATGAAATTTATTTTGAGCTCCACGACATTTACATAGACAACGAACCACAATAAAAATTTGTGCCAACACTTGATAAATGTAAGGATATCTTCATAAATGTTCTATTAAGTGATGAAACCTACAAAATTCTAGTATCGCTGACGAAATCAAGGCCCAAGTGTACCATGCTACTTATTGGACGAGTGATTAAGATGAAGACGAGGTAGTTAAAAATAACTATAAAATTCATGATCCAACCATCAGCAGAAGATTGTTGCTAGATGTGTCAGTAGAAGAATTGTTGCTAGATGTGGAAAGAGAAAGGAAGAGAGTAAATTCCCTTTCAGTAGGGGGTGTTCGTTTGGATGGATCAGTTTGATCCAATCTAATCAGGTGAATCCAAATTAATTTCGGTTTTCAAAACGTGAATCCGATCTGTCCAAACTAAATTCAAATCCGATCCGAACCAATCAAATCAAGGTTGTCAAGATCGGGATCCTACCTAGGATCGTTTTTGAGTTTGCAAGATCGGAATCGTAAGATCGGGATCGGGATCCTAAGATCCCATAAAATAAAATATAATTTTAATTTTTAATTTTTAATCATGAAAAATATTTTAAACATTCAATTTTTCATTCAAAAGTTATAAAAGCTGCAAAATATTAGTCATAAGTCACAATACAAAATGATAATTGGTAAATTGGTAAAGGGTAAAAGACATAAAAAAAAAATCAAGGGAAGGTAGGATCGGATCGGATCTCGATCCTACGATCTTACGATCCTACCTGCGATCCTACACCAAATACGATCCTTTTACGATCCGGATCGTTTTTCATACCTAGGATCGTAGGATCGTAAGATCATACGATCAGGATCACGATTTTGACAACCATGAATCAAATTACAATTTGGTTGGATCAGTTTTTACAACTCGGTTTTCAAGAGACTGGACATTTAAAAAATTATATAACATGAATATTAGTGAACTTTAAACAAATATAAATTGTTTGGTTGAGAATTAATATTTATGAACAACTATTAAAAAATGTATTATAATCTAATATTTTATAGATAAAAAAGCTTTTGAAAAGTATACATTGACGTATTTTATTGGATAATACTTTGGAATCTATTTAAAAATATAATTTATCAAATTAATAAATAACTAAAAGATGTATATTTGAAACAAATATATGTACATAAATAAATAATAAACTCTTATTCGGTTTTTTGGACTACTCGGTTTTAATTTTATAAACCGTAACCAATCCGATATCCAAAATAATAATTCGGTTTTGCTGAAAATCGATTCGAAAATCCGAATATCCAAACCAAATAGTCCAATCCAAATTGTCCGATTGGACAATTCGGTTTTATGCGAATAATGAACAGCCCTACCTTTCGGTCTTTATGTTGCGTAGATGTATAAGGGAAGATCTTTTCAGCTCAAAGCATTAAATGGTAACCATAAATGTTATGGCTAGTTTAAGTTTGGGTATATTGTGTCCCATGAAAGGATAAGAAGGCATTATATCATTGAAAAAGAAAGTAAGCCAAAGATGAAACTTAGGGAAATGATTGTTGACATAAAACAGAAGTATAGGTGTGTAGTATCTATAGGACAAGTGAGAAAGGCAAAAAAAATGGGCCAAATATTTGAAAGAAGGTAAACTTATTGAACATTATGCAAGGAAATGGGATTATGCCCATGAGTTGTAAAGATCAACCCTGGGGTCCTCATGCCAAGTTGGTGTAACGACCAATACAGATGCAAAGAATTGTTTTCATAGGTTCTACGTATGTTTCAATGCATTAAAGTGTTAGCTGGAAAAAAGGTGTAGAAGAGTAATTGGGTTGGATGGGTGCTTTCTAAAGGGGTAGGTGAAGGTTGAATTGCTAACAACCATTGGTAGATATGCCAACAACCAGGATTACCAAATAGCTTAGGATGTTATTGATGTGGAAAACAAGTCTAACTGGAATTGGTTTCTTGAGCTCCTTACTGGTGATGTAGATCTTAATGATGGAAGAGGCTTGGTGGTTATATCATATCAACATAAAGTAAGTTATTTTGTAAACTGTGAATCATTTTCAAATTACTTATAAATACTTATGTAACGCCCAGATCCCTGGTATGTATTATTTATTTATTTACTCATTTTTACAAGGCAACTCGACGAGTTGGTAACCCCAAACTTGTTGAGTAGAGATCGAGATGGACCGGGTTTTGATGTCTACTCGGCGAGTTCGGAAGCCCCGACTCGACGAGTAGGACTTCCAGAAGGAAACCCTAATTTTAAGGGTTTGGCCCCCTATTTAAGGAACATAACACCCCTTGTGGCCTCCCTCATCGTCCTCCATTGTCCAGAAAACCCTAATCAGTGAGCCTGAGCTTTGTATGAGTGTGTGAACCATTTTTGAGTGTTTTAGTGTGATTTGAAGCTTGTGAGAAGAAGAAGAAGCTAAAGGACTCCAAGAGAAGGTTGTAGATCCATGAGCCACATCACTTTCCTTCATTTTCTGGTAATCAAGTCTATACCTTGACTATTTGTTTTCTAGATCTTCTTATGGGGAATTTTAGGGCTTTTGGAGTGCATTTTGGAACTATTCATGGATGCAAGGATGATTTGGTGTATCAACTACAGATCTAGAGTCTTTGAGGGACTCCATGGCATAAACGTGCCAAATTTATGGCCATGGGAGTCCCATGCACCTTATGAGACACCTTTTTGGACCTTGTGAGCTAAAAACCCCATGTATGCACGTAAAGTTGGAAACTTTACGTGACATAAGGACCTTAGGGGTCCAGATCTAGGTTTTGGACGCAATGAACCCAACTGAAATTAACTACAAAGATTAAGATCATGGGGGACTCGACGAGTTGTTCATGCAACTCGGCGAGTCGGGTCGTGGTCCCCCAACTTTTCTGTTAATGAGTGAACTCGTTGAGTCTAGGAGATGACTCAGTGAGCTGGACATAGTTTTGGACTTGGGATTTGAAGAACTCGACGAGTCCAAGGAGGGACTCGGCGAGTTGATTCGGGGTGTCCCGATTTACAGACAGAACTCGACGAGTTTCTGAAGGGACTCGCCGAGTTAACTCGATTGCCCACGATTCTGAGTAGTTCAGGAACTCGCCGAGTTGGGAGATAACTCGACGAGTTGGGTTGACTAGGAGTCGACCTTGACTTTGACTTTGACTAAAGCATTGACTTTAACCAAGGGTAAAATGGTTATTTTACCCTAGGAAGGATTATCAGATTTTGATTAAGTATTATTATGAAATTGATAGTCGGGGAGTCGCCGGAGCAGCAGTCAGAGATTCTCCACTCGTGTTTTCAACAGTCATTCTTACGAGGTGAGTTTTCCTCCAGTAGGACGGGTCTAAGGCACCAAGGCCGACCCGTATATGAATGTTTAGCAGCCGAGTGTGGGCGAGGCCCGTATCTTTCAAGTTAGCCGAGTGTGGGCGGGACCCGTATCTCATAGCTTAGTTGATTATGGATATATGCCTGATTGATAGATTTATTTATACTTGTTGTATGTGCGATACTCGTATGTATGTTTAGTAGCCGAGTGTGGGCGGGGACCGTATATTGTAGCAGTTGAGTGTGGGCGGGGCCCATATCTCATAGTAGCCGAGTGCGGGTTTGGCCCCGTATCTCGTAGTAGCTGAGTGTGGGTGGGGCCCGTATCTCAGAGTTAGCAGAGTGTGGGCGGGGCCCGTATCCATTAGTTGCATGTTATATGTGTATGGTATGTGGTAGTTTGGGGAGACTCACTAAGCTTCATGCTTACAGTTTTCAGTTTTGGTTTCAGGTACTTCCACTAGCAAGGGGAAGGGCTCGGGATGATCGCATGGCACACACCACAGTTTTATCCTGGGATGT